GGTCTAAATGAATGATATACTGAACGTATGTCCTCTTGATATGTGTAACACTTCGTAACTGAATGAATATATATCTTTTGTATTCTGATAACCCTCACGATAAGATCTGTTAGGTTTACATGCATATTCTATGTATTAATAATAATAATAATAATAATAATAATAAAATTATTACTTTACAATTTCTTGCATTAGGAATTATCTTTTTGCATACCCCAGCTTGCTCTCCATGAGACACACAGACACACAAATAGGGAGAGAGCCTGGGGTCAGAGTGCAGGGTCTGCCATAGTACAGCGCCCCTGGAGCGGTTGGGGTTAAAAGCCTTGCTTAGGAGCCCAACAGAGTAGCTGCGGGATTTGAACTGGCAACCTTCCAGCCACAGGCGCAGATCCTTAGCTACAGAGCCACCGCTCCACCCCATTAATAAATGTATCCTTGTGTATTAGTACCTGTGTGTGTGCGTTGTTTGAGTTATATTGCATGGTTGGATTCTAAAGCCATTAAAAGAATCATTTTGTGATTTACTGCTACAATTAATATATGTCCCAGTAAATGCCCAAACCCTACAGAACTGGTGCCTCGTGAGAGCACACTACATGAGAAATGTTAAGATTTTAGTATTCACTATACAAGTGTGCGGAAACAATTCATGCTACAGATACAGCCATTCAAAATGCACGGTACAAACCCGTACCGCGGGCAACTACGTGTAAGCCACTGCGCCGTACCGGAATACGTGATTGGCTGGCCAAAATGACCGACAGGGGCACTTGTGGTGCATTGGTCGGTAGTGAAAAGATTTAATAATTTAATCTCTTTACTGTGCACGTTTTAATCCGCTTAGTATTGAATATTTATTTGAAATTTTACCACTTAAGGGAAATTTTAGTAGCTGAGCATAAAAAGAAGAGGAGCATAACGCATCTGAAGGTCATAAACAATATTAATTTAGGAACATAAACATATTACTGTATGTAAACTGTACTGTATATGGCTGGTCTTGGTAGTTTAAAGAAAAATTACACACCAGTCTTCCACTTCTCCCTAAACATTTTAAGCATCAAAGTTTTATGAAATGGTCCCCAAATATGTGATTGCTGTAAAAAATAAATTTTAATTAAAAAAAAATATTTAACATGAAATTAAGCTGTTTACGTTCCTCCGCCTGAGAATATAGCAACGCAACGCAGAAACACAGGCACAGGTAACTAGCAAAGAGAAGACATTAGCTAGCCAATATGATAAAGGAATAAATTATTTTTTTATTTCTTTTGCACATTTATTTGAACATTTCCATCAATTGTACAAGCCCTTGGAAACTGTCCAATCCCTAGTTCTTCTGCATTTTTTATGCTCCGGGCATTCTCCCGGTCTGGCGCCAGTCTGTGTCTTCTAGGATATAATGTCGGCGATTTGTATTAAAATTGGATTTCCAATAACGCCGCAGCAAACTCTTGTTTTTATGTCCACTATAACGGACAATCTCCCTTGCTTTTAACCGAGCGTTTCATAATTCCCTAAAATGAAAATGCGACAGAATTCTGGGGTGTCCCTATGCCAGAGATTACGGTACGGCTTCAGAATGGTGATTGGCTGACACCATCTGACACCCCTCTGATTGGGGAAAAAAGACCTGCTGATCTGTCCTACACACCTGGAAGACAACAGCATATGCTGCTTCTATTTGAAACTTGTATTTTAAAAGTTTAATTAGGAAGTAAAAACCTTACAGCATACACAGATTTCTAAACTGATCAGGAGGAAGAAAAATCACCCGTATTTCGCGCATATAAAGTGGTTATTAACTATTGAAACCTGGTTTATTAATTTTACTTTTATTTAGATTAAGAGTTCCCTTCACCCCCATTTCCATTTAAATCGCAAACCCGTGTTTAATTAAACATTTTTATTGATTCACAATCTGGCAATGCAACGTAAATCGTTATCTTTGTCTTCTGCATAATAATGTTCACCTTTCTGTCCAGCAAATTAATAATAAACTTCATTTTCGTCATCTCCGCTTTAATGGTACACCTGTCGCGGATTGTATTTCATTGCACTTTGACAGATTGTTTTTAAATCAATTGTTGTCAGAATATCCCCACCTCCAAACAAGAACAAAATTGCAATGATTTTATTAACTGGCTGTTTCAGAAACTTAAAGTATATATTTTAAGTAATAATTTAACAAGATATGTACATTTTTAAAGATATGTTTATGTTGTGAATGTCTGTAGATTGTATCTTATTTTTAGTTTTTGTTTTGTTTCACGTTAATTTTATAAGGGAATCTTAATTAAAATAGTTTTATTTTTTCACAATCTGGTAATGCCAGACAGAATTCACATTTGCTGCAGCCAAATGGCCTTGCAGATC